GGCTACAGCCGTAACTACTTGCTATGGGCATCAAGCCCCCACCTCCTTTTTTTTTTTTTTTAAAGAGACAAGAGCCTTACTTTGTCACCCTTAGTAGAGTGCCTTGGCATCACAACTCACAGCAACCTCCAGCTCTTGGGCCAAGGTGATTCTTTTGCCTCAGCCTTCTGAGTAGCTGGGACTAGAGGAGCCCACCACAACACCCAGCTTTCTGTTGCAGTTTGACCGGGGCCAAATTTGAACCTGCCACCCTCAGTATATGGGGCCAGCGCCCTACTCACTGAGCCACAGGCCACCATTTTTGTTTTTTTTTTGAGACAGAGTCTCACTTTGTCACCCTTGGTAGAGTGCTATGAAGTCACAGTTCACAACAACCTCAAACTCTTGGGCTTAAGTGATTCTCTTGACTCACCTTCCTGAGTATCTGGGACTACAGGCGCCTGCCATAATGCTTGACTATTTTTAGAGACGGGGGTCTCACTCTTGCTCAGGTGGGTCTTGAACTCCTGAGCTCAAGCAATCCACCCACCTCGGCCTGCCAGAGTGCTAGGATTAAGGCATGAGTGGCCTAAAAAAGGTCTTAAAACAAGGTCTTGCTCTGTCACATTGGCTAGAGTATAATGATGACATCATAGCTCATTATAACCTCAAACTCCTGAGCTCAAGTGATCCTCCTGTCTCAGCCTCCCAAAGCGCTGGGATTATAGGCGTAAGCCACCATCTCTGACCAGAGAATCCTACCCTTTTTTAATCTTCATTTTATTTATTTATTTATTTTTGAGACAGAGTCTCCCTCTATTACCCAGGCTAGAGTGCAGCCTTGAATTCCTGTGCTCAAGTGATCCTCAGCCTCTCAGTCAGCTGGGACTACAAATGTTTGCCACCATACCTGGATCATTTTTTCTACTTTTTTTTTTTTGGCTGGGGCCAGGTTTGAACCCGTCACCTCCGGCATATGGGGCTGGCGCTTTACTCTTTTGAGCCATAGGCGCCGCCCCAATTTTTTCTACTTTCTGCAGAGGTACGGTCTCACTATGTTGCTCGGGCTAGTCTTGAACTCCTAGGCTCAGGCAATTCTACCTTGGCCTGACAGAGTTCTGGGATTATAGGTGTGAGCCACTTCATCTGGCCTGAGAATCCTATTTTGAAAAACGATCTTGAGCAAATCTGCTTTGCTGCTTGGGACAACAGGAAAGGCATATCTTTCCTTGTAATGTGACTCCAGTGACTTTCTTGGTCAGCCCTTAGAGGGCAGTTATATATCATCCTGGAAAGGATGAGGGGGGCAGTTGATGCTCTCATTTCACAGAAGCCCACCTATGCCAAGAGGGGCAATAATGGGACCTTAAGTAGGGCCTGATGTCAAGGTCAGTCTGGTGCTCTCACTATAGTAGTCAGCACACTTGTACCTAGGCCCCGGGAAGACTGGAGTTCTGCTGGCCATTTTCACAAGTGTTGAAGTTGAATCAGAATTCTCAGTTAAAAAAAAACTGAAAACACAGAGAAAGCAAATTTCCTAGTCATAACACATCCCACTGACTCCTTTAGGGCCTAGGTGGGCAGTGCCTGAGGGCAGGTCCCACTGACATAGGCTTTTTCAGCCCTATCTCACATACCTACAAGAATAGACCAAGACCCTCACATTCATACCCTCCTATGTACAAAAGATACACAGAGAGAAGACTGATAGCCTTGCTTTGCCAAGGGCTGGGACACAAGACTCCAGAAGCCCTTGGTTATCACTGCTCCTTTCTGTTTATAGTAGGTGATCCAAAATCCACCATTTTCCCATACCAAGAACCAGAAAACAGTTAGCTTGTTGCCAAAGAACCCTGGGGTTTCTTTTTCCCTCCTGTACTGCTTGGAAATGGTCTTTGTGTGGACTTTAAAATTCAGAAAGAAGACTGAGAGCCTCCAGAGCTCTCTGTACACAACTTCACCTCTCCAGCCTACATTCATGCCATAAAAGATGGGAAGAAATCAAGTGACCACAGTGGCTTTATTCCCCTTGAACCAATCCTTCGCTAAAGTGTTGATTAGGTCTACTTTTAAATTCAATCTGGAGCCACCATCTGCCCTCCAAAGAATCTGGTGTCCAACGAATAGCTCCAATGTCAAATATCAAAAGATAAGCTATCTTGGGCAGCACCTGTGGCTCAGTGACTAGGGCACCAGCCCCATATACCAAGGGTGGTGGGTTTGAACCTGGCCCTGGCCAAACTACAACACAAAATAGCTGGGCATTGTGGCAGGCACCTATGGTCCCAGCTGCTCGGGAGGCTAAGGCAGGAGAATCACCTAAGCCCAAGAGTTGGAGGTTGCTGTGAGCTGTGATGCCACAGCACTCTACTGAGGGCGACAAAAGGAGACTCCAAATCAAAATAAATAAATAAATAAACATGGTACTGGGTTGGCACCATCAGTAAGTAGAGCACTGGCCACATAACACAGAGGCTAGTGGGTTCAAGCCTGGCCTGGGCCTGCTAAACAACAATGACAACTGCAACAACAAAAAAATAGCTAGGTGTTGTGG